ACATTTTGCTTTCCCCATATTTATTTACCAACTAATTTATACAGCTGCCCCAAATAAGTTGCTAAAAATAAGTGTAGGATTTGGGGTATTACCCCACCAAATGAAGGTTTAATGCAAGTACTGTGCATTGTACTTGGTGTGAGGGGTCAGCAACCTTTTTCAGCCATGGGCCGGTCCACTGTCCCTCAGATCTTGTGGGGGGCAGGACTATATTTTTGGGGGGTAAATGAAGGAATTCCTATGCCCCACAAATAACCCAGAGACACATTTTAAATAAAAGGACACATTTTACTCATGTAAAAACACACTGATTCCCAGACTGTCTGTGGGCCCGATTGAGAAGGCAATTGGGCCGCATCCAGCCCCCGGACCTTAGGTTGCCTACACCTGGTCAAGGCCTTTGGAAAGAGATTGGAAGATTAAAGCCCTTTAGAATTTTATACTGCTACTTGATTGGTTTTGGATATGTTCTTAATGATGCTGTTAGCCACCCTAGGCACTGTTCAGGGAGGAAGGGTGGGATAGAAATTAAACGAAAGAAATAATTCTATAGAAATCTAAACTACCCACCAGGAGTGATGAAGTTCACCCCGCTAAGTCATACACCTCCCTGGGGCCACAGCCCCCGTTAGCCCTTCTCCATGTCCTCCTTGAGAGCTTTTGCCAGGCTAGAATGTGTCCTCTTGCTTGTCTGAATGGAAAGCTGTGTGTGCAGAACTATCTGGCTTTTATATTGGCCAAAAGGTATCCTACTGTACCTAATGTAAGAGTCACATTCATTGCCCCATCAGCTTTTGCCTCTGACCCTGCTCACCATCGACACGCCCCCCCCCCCGCCAACCCAGGTTCTCCATGATGGAATGTGGCTCTTGGGATGAAGGATGCTTATCTCACCATTCCATGGGCACACTATATATTTTGCCTACTGGTCTTGCACCAGCATCCTTTGCTCAGAGAAGCGGTTCTTACTGCAACATTTCTAGAATCATATTATGGAGTGTAGCTTGCATATGTACTTCATGCCTCTATTTATTAATCAAAAAGAAAATCTAAATAACTTGATATAACAGCTGAGCTGCCAACTCAATATCCATGCTGTGGCTTAAGGCAATATCAGGGTTGTGCTGCTTCCACACACACACGCAAAAAAAAAAAACAACAACAACAGCCCTCCTTTAGGCAAATCTGAAATTTCAAGGATTGATAATGAATGGCATGGTGTAAATCAGCACTGCAAGTTCCGTGGGTGTGGCTACAGCCCTGAGAATGCCACAACGCAAATAAAACCTTTCTTCTTCTTTTTCATTACTTATTCAATGCCACAAGCATATTTATTTATGTACTGAATTTCTAGCTCAGTTAAAAAACAACAACTAAAACCTCAGGGTGGCTTTTGAATCAAATAAAAAGCAATTAAAAGAGTAACACAATATCATAAAACTGCAGTTTAAAATTAAAACAGCAGAACAACAAAGCGGTCTCAAGAAGCACCATAAAACAGAGTCAGACGATATTTTAAAAGGTGCAGCGAAATTTTAAAAGTTATTTCCCTGAGGAGACACCCATGCCTCTCACCAGCTGGACTCCGCCTCTTGGCCTCCCTCCTTTCCTCCTTCAGCTTATGATACTGATCCTGGACTTCTCTCTGACACAGATTCCCCCTGCTCACTAAACCCTGTTACCTCTCCAGTTTCCAACACCTTCTCCTTCTGACCACTCATCAATGTCCCACCACCAACCCCTGGCTCTGAGCCTTCTGCCCTTAGAGGTTCCCCAGCTGGTTCCTCCCACTAGTCCTCTGCATCCAACCAATCCCTGACAGTCAAAAGGAGCACACTGAACCTGGTTTAAGCACACAGCCAGGCAGTGCTGTTCTTTGACAATAGTAATGTCACCACACTCTGCTCCTGCTGCAGGGTCCAAACTTTGGGTTACCAGTGCGAGAATCACTGGCCAGGCTCTCTTTGCCCAGGAACAGCCCTAACTGCTACACAAACTGAAGTTGGCAAAAGGTCTCCTTGCCATGATGGTCACTTGCACCGACAAGAATATTGTTGGATCCAGGAGCACCCCAAACTATGTACTTGCTCATTTAGGGTGGAGGGTGGTGCCATCCTAAATAAGCAATCTGACCACTTCTTGAACCGAGGAGTCAACCACCCATAGTCAACCACCCATCTTGTCTCAGGTTTTATGTTTGTTTGTTTGTTTTTGCTTTTGGCCAGCTTGTCACTGCAGTCACCCTAAAACAGGCATAGACAAACTTCAGCCCTCCAGATGTTTGGGACTACAATTCCCATCATCCCTAGCTAACAGGACAAGGCCAGGGATGATGGGAAGTGTAGTCCCAAATATCTGGAGGGCCGGAGTTTGCCTGTGTCTGCTCTAAAACCTGCAAGCCTCTTCTGACTGAGATAGAATCATAGAATCATAGAGTTGGAATAGACCACAAGGGCCATTGAGTCCAACCCCCTGCCAAGCAGGAAATACCATCAGAGCACTCCTGACATATGGTTGTCAAGCCTCTGCTTAAAGACCTCCAAAAAAGGAGACTCTACCACACTCCTTGGCAGCAAATTCCACTGTCAAACAGCTCTTACTGTCAGGAAGTTCTTCCTAATGTTTAGGTGGAATCTTCTTTCTTGTAGTTTGGATCCATTGCTCTGTGTCCGCTTCTCTGGAGCAGCAGAAAACAACCTTTCTCCCTCCTCTATATGACATCCTTTTATATATTTGAACATGGCTATCATATCACCCCTTAACCTCCTCTTCTCCAGGCTAAACATGCCCAGCTCCCTTAGCCGTTCCTCATAAGGCATCGTTTCCAGGCCTTTGACCATTTTGGTTGCCCTCCTCTGGACACGTTCCAGTTTGTCAGTGTCCTTCTTGAACTGTGGTGCCCAGAACTGGACACAGTACTCCAGGTGAGGTCTGACCAGAGCAGAATACAGTGGCACTATTACTTCCCTTGATCTAGATTCTATACTCCTATTGATGCAGCCCAGAATTGCATTGGCTTTTTTAGCTGCCGCGTCACACTGTAGGCTCATGTCAAGTTTGTGGTCAACCAAGACTCCTAGATCCTTTTCACATGTACTGCTCTCAAGCCAGGTGTCCCCCATCTTGTATTTGTGCCTCTCATTTTTTTTGCCCAAGTGCAATACTTTACATTTCTCCCTGTTAAAGTTCATCTTGTTTGTTTTGGCCCAGTTCTCTAATCTGTCAAGGTCGTTTTGAAGTGTGATCCTGTCCTCTGGGGTGTTAGCCACCCCTCCCAGTTTGGTGTCATCTGCACATTTGATCAGGATGCCCTTGAATCCATCATCCAAGTCGTTGATAAAGATGTTGAATAAGACCGGGCCCAAGACAGAACCCTGTGGCACCCCACTAGTCACTCTTCTTGATACAAACAAATAAGAACTGATGGTGATGATACAAATTAAGACACTTTGTGCTGCATTTTGGTCATCTAAGCTTATACATGACCCGGAAAAACTGTCTGCAGACAAACGTCGCTCCCTTGGCCAGAGTCATTCACGACTGGACTTAACTGTCAGGAGTCCTTTACTTTTTATACTTATAGCAATGCATATTTCACAGGTTTTTGGGTTAACTACTCCCTGTCTGAGATAATACAACTGTCATTTCACTATGCTGCAACAAGACTTTCCAGAATAAGGAATCTAGAAAGCAGGCTTTAGGCAAATGCCTAGCCAAAAGTACTGGCTTGCATGGCTTGTTTAAAAAGAGCCCACTGATGCTTGACTGATGTAAACATGTGTACTGCAAAACGTCTATAGCTAGCCAGATGTCAAAATGGATTTTCATATTCCTAAAGATATTTTCCCAAATGGTTCTGGAAGCCTTGCAGAACATGATCTGAACTATATTCTTTTTTTCAATCTTATGAACAGACAGGAACAAAAGAAAGAAATTGTCAAGAAGACAGAAGTTTATTCCAACCTGTTTGGCATGTACTCTGTGCTTTAAAACACAACTTGAACCTAAAGAAGAACCAAATTCTGTGCCAAGATTATCTGAATTCTCTTAACTGTATACATTATGCATATGAATTACTTGCATGTTTAATTTTGCATAATTTATACTTCCTATCCAAGTTATGAGGAGCAAGGCACAGAAGACCACACCACCACCGGAAATCTTGGAATCTGGCCTTTGCACCCAGTATCACATTCCTCTGGTTGTCTGCGACTATTCAAAAGCAGCACTACACACAGCACTAATTACACTGAACATTATTCTCCCCTCTGAGAGATAGAAAACCCATCAGAAACTGACATTTAAATCAATTAAATCAATATTTTTAAATGTCTCAATTGCTTCTCTATAATAAAGGAAATATTAAAAACAACATAGCAAAATGAATAAAATCAGCAGAAGCCCCAACTCTGAATAATCAACAGCATTATTCGAAAGGTCTCTATAATCAATACATTGGCGTGGGGGGGGAGTGTCAATTTCTTAAGTTCATTAGTAGGAATGAATTGGTGCCAGTGCAAATAAATGCTTGGCAAGCCTGGTAGTTTCACATCTTTCTTTACTAAATTGCAAGTTAAATAAACATGCTAAACTAGATCACTCTCCAGGGCATCAGAAAATGTTTCAATACAAATTATCCATAGGACAATTTTCTGGAAAACCCACGTCACTGACTACACATTACTTCTTTCTGTAAGCAGGCTCTCCTGTTTCCAGACATCCCTGTGTATAATAGCCCCCACCTTTTGTTCCCTGCTGATAGAGCATCCAAACCCCATTGTCATCACTGTCCGCCTGAAGGTTCCTTCTTACCATAATCTTCCTGCTCCCTCATTGCTCCAGCCTCTTCCTCCTCTATTCTCTTCACCCTTGACATAGCCCCGTGTCTGTAACGTCTGAGACAAAAGGCACTCTGCATGTGCTCGCTGTCACTTGAATCTTGCATCCAGTGAAACACACATACACCATCAAAGAGGCGCAGCTTCACTTCACCAAAGGAAAGGTTGGGCTTCATTTTGCAGCTGGGAAGAAGCAAGACCTCACATACTTTGCATACAAAGCTGCAGGCTGAGGGGTCTCCAGCTCAGTTAGATCTCGGGCAGCTGGATTGAAAGGGTGTCTTGCCCAAGACTCTGGAAAGCTGAAGACTCAGAGTTTGACCAAACTGGGTCGGACTGGCCAGCGATTCACTAGACTGCATGGCCATATTCAGAGTATGCTCAGAGACCCAGAGTGCTGGAGCCTTTTAAACAACCCTGAGTACTCAAATGCGGACCTGAGCGGCCACCCCCGTCAATTACTCCAGCATCTCTACCTCCTGACTTCCACACCTGAGTTATTTTTATTGCTTGAATCATCAGAAATCGATTAGCGACTGATGGCAACGATCTTCCAGCCCGTGAGCAAAGTTTCACAGTTCCAGGACGATCGAGCAAGGTGGGTTTCCGAAGTAGAGACAGGTGTGCGTCTATCTGGAGCTTTTCGGACTCCCGTTGCATCCCCTGCCCAGCACCCCCCCCTCCCGCCGCCCCCCTTCCCCCCCGCTCACCTGGCTCTGGGATCCCGGCGCGGCGGGCGCTCGGCGGGCGCTGCAGCCCCCTTTGGTCTGCAGGTTGATGGGCGCGCTCTGCTGGGCGCCGCCGCCCCGGCCGCCGTTCAGGTGCGCGGTCACCATGGCCACGGGACCCTTGGACGGCAGCACGGAGAGCGCCACGCTCGGAGGGCCGGAGCTGGGGCCGCCGCCGCCGCCTCCTCCTCCTCCTCCGCCGGCGGGGGCTTTGAGGAGCGCCGGCTGTTTGGTGCTGCCGCTGGCGCCGCCGCCGTTCCCTGCTGCTGCGCTGCCCACCAGCACCGCGGCCGAGCAGCTCCGCACGGGCAGCTTCTGCAAGGGGGAAAAAGAAGGCGACACGCGCTCAGGCTTCCCGCCTTGGAAAGCGGCTCTCCCAGCCCCCGCCCAGCGCCGAGGGAAGCCTTCACCCGCCCGGGAACCCCGCCGCCCTCCCCGCCCAGCAGCCCGAGCTGGGCGGCGGCGCTGCCTTCGGCTCCGCGGGGGCTTCTGCTGCCGGAGCCCGCCTGCTTGTCGGCGGCTGTTTCCTCCCCGTCGGGGCTGCGGGCTTCCTTCGGGGGCGGCCAACTCCGCCTTGCCTTTTGCGCGGAGCAGAGCGGGGCAGCGCGGCCCATTTGGGGCGGCCCGTCTGCCGGGGGAGCGGAGGGCGCTGGCGAGCCCCGTCGGGGACGGAGGACCGGGGTTTAATTCAGGGCGTCTCTCTCTCTCTCTCCCTCCCTCCCTGGCACACACATTCTGAAGCGAGGGAGCATCTTGGGATCACTTGACTCGGATCGCCCGTGCCTTAATTGTTTATCGATCCAGACCCTGCCTTCCTCCACTGAGCAGCACACATTGGGGGACTCGAGGCAAACGAGCCCGTCGAGCAGCAGCAGCCCCAGCCGGGGGACCGGCCGAGGCGCCCCGAGGGAAGGCAGCCAAACAAAAGCGACGGCTTGGCCGACCGGGAAGTTCTGCGCATGCCCCTTGGAAATCCGCGGGAGCCGAGCGCTGGCGCTCCGGTGCAGCTCCTGCTCGTTGGAATGAGACTTGCGCGAGAGAACTTCCCCAGGACTGCGCGCCCCGCAAGGCCTGCCCTTTCACATTTACCTCTTAGTCGTACTAAGTTTTGTGGGGCTTACTCCCAAATAAGTGTGCATGGGATAGAGCCATGCAGCCTAAAGATTTGTGCGCTCCAGGATAGCGGGCTTTTAGAAGTTAAAAAGCGCATATATCCTCTACCCGCCCCAGTTCTTTGGCAAAGATTTCTGCCGCTTGGAGCATGGGATCTTTTCGAATTCTCTCTTGCAGGTCTTCAGTCCCTTCCCTTTAGACTTCTTTTGACCTCGGCCTTGAGCCCAGGGCCTCCTGCAGCAGGATCCGCGGGGGCAATAGATCTTTTTTTCCTCCTCTGCCCCTTGTTCCTGATGTAGATCCTTCACACCTCCTTCCCAAAATGTCTGTGAGCCTTTGTCTGTGTTTTCTTAATTTTGTCATCTAGTGCAACTCTGACTAGTGGGCTTTCTTTCTTCCACCTGCAGAAGTTCCAGTTTTACAACCCCTTTAAACATGCTTATTACAGTATAGCACACAAAACTGAACAGTAAAAAGTTAAATATTTTTGTACTGTAAAAGTATAGCAGCTATAAGAATTTTGTTTTGCAAAATTTTTTTTTGTTTGTTTGAATATTTTCCCTTTAAAAAATCCCAGTGTACAGTCATACCGCGGGTTGCAAATGCTTCAGGTTGCTTTTTTGGGGGGTTACGGACACACCAAAACCCAGAAGCACCGGAACAGGTTACTTCCGGGTTTGGGCGATCACGCTTTGCACATGCACAGAAGCACCGAATCACAACCCGCGTGTGCGCAGACGCGGCACTGCGGGTTGCGAATGTGCCTCCCACACAGATCACATTCACAACCCAAGCGTCCACTGTACATTCAGGGGGGCCCACTACAGAAATCTGAAATTATGTAAGTTGCACATTTCTAAGTAGACAAATATTGGTACTCGGATGCTTAGAGACTTCTTGTGTTCATATTATTTCATACGCTTCCTATCATACTCTCCCAAAGTGGGTGGGGGGAGATATACATGGTATCTATCCCCATATTATCCTCATAACGACCATGTTAGGTAGACAAGACACTACATGTTAATGCTACTGCCATCACATTTCAGTTTTAGAGTGATAGTTCTATTCCTTTGTTTATTTCTTTCAATATATTTAGTAAAAAAGGGGGGGGAGAGATTTATATTTATGCTGCCTTTCAGGGTAGAAAAGCTCTTGAACAGTGACTCACGAAAGTAACATTAGAGCTGTTTATAATTGATCCACAAATTCATGAACTGACTTACAAGTAAGATCTGCTAATGAGGAACCTTTAAAAATGCATGATGTGTTTAAATGCTGTGGATATGATGAGCAAATCAAATTCTGCATGAACCATTTTAGTCAGGGCACAGCCTATGGATTCAGCAAATGCTGCTGTATATGTTTGAGATGAAACAATTCTCTAGTGTACTGTCAGATCCATGTTGGAATTAAGCATTCTAAACACTCAGTTTAACTCACCTTCCCTCATAAACTTGTGTGGGGTAGACATTTTAATTACAAATGAAAAAACACAATGTACAATGTGAAATGCGTGTGGAGTGGAGAGGTCAGCATTCAGACAGCAATTTTTAATGAGAGAGCAGGGGTGATGCAACTGGTATGCAAAAATGTCCCTGTTTACATCTCTGAAATGTTGGAGAACATACGAAGAGAAAGGAGCAGAGACTCAAAGACTGTTTAGCCAGAATAGCGGTGCTTAGAAAAAGTCACAATCTGTATCTGGGACCTTTATTCATAACGACTTAACTCAAGCATTTATGTCTTTCAACATAAATGGGCATCAGTGATTCTGTGTGGTAAACCTGTGTCTGGGCTGCACACCATTTCAGACTGGAGGTGGGGATTCGCACAGTGGAAAGCTGCAACTGCTTTTGAAGATTTTAAAAACAGCGTGCCAGAGAGAAGGTAAGTGGGAGACCTTCTTGTTGATGAGCTTTTTACCTGCCGGCAATTGTATTTGTGGGTGAGCATTCCACATGTAGCCTGAACATGAGCACACACATGTAGTCTGAACTAATATGGCCCATTGAGAACTAGACTCAAATGCTTATTGCACAACTTGATCCACAAATTCATGAAACCAAGAAACAAAAATGTGTACATGGTCTGCTCTACTTAACATCATGGTTTACGGTGTTTAGTCTACATAAAGCCAAAGAAAAGTCAAAGGAGAAGAGTGTTTTTCTAACAATATACATGCAAGGAATCTTAGTTCTATAGCCTAAACAGATGAGGCACTTACTTTTAACACTATATTTTAGGTCATTATGGAAATTTATGAAAGAGCAGCAGAGTTCTTGGGCTGAATGACTGTAGGAAGAGCATTTGCATTTTTAGTAGTCTCCAACATAAAAACCAATGAACAAACACAAAGAAACTAGTATTGGTGGTTGAAGTTCAAAACGGAGGTGATTCAGATGTGTCCTTTCCGATTCTGGACCCCTGAGCTGAGTACATTATAAGTGGAACCCAAACCCATCTCTGAATGCTGGACTTGGCCCAGGCATACAACAGGCTATTCCACCCCACCATGTCTACACAGTCACCTCCTTCGCTTTTCCATTCAAACTTTCCTGGTGGCAGTGGCAATGACAGCAACAACAACAACAGGAAGGTTTCACGGTGAAACCTCTATAACATTCCTGAACAGTGTTCTAGGCACAAAACAAGCAATGCCAACCATGGCTCATAATGTCCTACCATAGATTGCTGCTACTGTTTGATGCTTCCACACAGGGCGTTGCATGAGCGCCAACTGGTGTTTTTGCCAGTCTTTTTAATCTGTTGTGGTGGGGATTTTGTATGCATTTTCTACTAGTGGAGACCTCCCTGTTAAGTAACTTTAAGAGAAAGGAAAGCAGGTGTGTGGTGACTCGTGATGGGCATGGGGGGTAAGGGATATTTTTGTGGGGGTGCTCCTTTCCACTGGGAAACCTTTTTAAAAAGACTGAAATCCTGAAACTTTGGGTCAAACTCTGACTGCTGGCAAACCTACTGGAACATGAGAGTCCTGAGGCCACCACAGTGGCTGACTTGAAAGGTTCCATGAAAAAATGCATTGATCAAATATAGCAGAACATCTTTCTTAATTAGATTCTCCTGCCAGGAGAAACAGTTTGGTTTTCCTCTTTAATGAACTTCTTTCTTTTTGACTTCATGCCCTATGGAGAGCCTGGTAAAGGGGTGTTGGCAGAAACAACAAAGATTATGATATGAGAGGTGGAAAAAATCCTCAAACAAAAGCTACATCTGCCATGTTATATTTCTGCCAAATTTAATTAAAAAGAATATCCTCCTTTTAAAAGAGAGAAAATCTCCATTTGGGGAATCAGTCAGCAGAACACGTTCTCTGACTCTTCTTGGAACAATGAGTAATAAGGATCTCTTAAGCTTGCTTTGGGCATTGTAGTTGAAAACATAATGTCATAAAAGAAGAGCCAATCAAAAACATTCTGTAAATGCTGGGAAGCAGCTCCCTGCTTCTCATATACTGCATAACAGTCCTCACAATACACCATTTTTGAAGCAGCGCCTTTCAGTGGCAACACAACTTTCATTTTCACGGCAGGATGCCACAGGCAAACTGGAGTTTGAAATATGTATGCCAGTCACATGCAAACACACTTCAATGTGCTGGAAAAGCAGCTGCTTGTTTGTGATTTCCAGTATTCTACATGGCTGAGTCCTGTTCATAAATCTAAAACTATACAAAGCAGAGCCAATATATGCCTCTCCAGCCGAATAGCTTTGCTACTGCTTACGCATTTTCAAAAAGCAAAAGGCACTCTATCTCAGAGGTCTCTGCTAGTAGTAATGGTGGTTTGGCAACTTGAAGAAGAAAAACAAGCAAAAAAGAAACCTCAGCAGGGAATAATCAGGACCCAGCTTGTTAAATATCCATATTGCACAGCTATTAAACAATGGACTGGCTTTTTTGAAGTTGTGAGATTGGATCAAAGAAGCCTGGTTCCATGAATACTGCCTCAAGATGGTGAAATTAGGAAAATGAAAATTTGTAGTGCATTTATAGAAAATCTGTTTGGAGTGAGGAAGTGCAATACTGTACATAGTCAATTGTCAACCTCACCTACTGTCCACACTGAATTGTATACCCTGTTTAGGCAAATGAGGTTCTGATGACCAAAGTACAGAAGGATAATTGTTGTGACTGGCTCTAAAGAAATGTAATCCTGTAGGAAAATCTACTGTTCTGAAGGAAGCAGGGCCCAATCCAACCTGCAATCAGGCCAGCATGGTTCCAGAATGCCAGAAGGTTGAGATGTGGCTTAGCATCCATGGCATTGATCTGCAAGGCAAAGGTGAGTCTGGTGTAATGAGCCTTGAAGCAGTGAATTGCCCCTTGATCCAAAGGCTAGATGAGTTTAAAGGGGGGGGTAAAGGACCCCTCGCCTGCCAACCTAGCAGTTCGAAAGCACCCCCAGGTGCAAGTAGATAAATAGGGACCGCTTACTAGCGGGAAGGTAAACGGCGTTTCCGTGTGCAGCTCTGGCTCGCCAGAGCAGCGATGTCACGCTGGCCACGTGACCCGGAAGTGTCTCCGGACAGCGCTGGCCCCCGGCCTCTAGAGTGAGATGGGCGCACAACCCTAGAGTCTGTCAAGACTGGCCCGTACGGGCAGGGGTACCTTTACCTTTAAAGGACCCCTGGATGGTTAAGTCCAGTCAAAGGCAACTATGGGGTACAGCGCTCATCACTGTAGAGCCAGCGTTTGTCCACAGACAGGTCATGTGGCCAGCATGACGAAACAACTTCTGGCACAACAGGAGACCGTGACGGAAGCCAGAGCACATGGAAACACTGTTTACCTTCCTGCTGCAGTGGCACCTTTTTATCTACTTGCACTGGTGTGCTTTCGAACTGCTAGGTTGGCAGGAGCTGGGACAGAGCAACAGGAGCTCACCCCATCATGCAGATTCATACTGCCGACCTTCCGATCAGCAAGCCCAAGAGGCTTGGTGGTTTAGACCACAGCGCTACCCTTGCTGGATGAGTGAAGACGTATGGGGGGGGGAAGCAACTTTGTGTGGAAATTACAGTCCCTGCGGGTGACTAGGAACATTATCCACCACCAGCAGCAGTACTTTGAACTCCAGCCGCTTCTCCAGCAGGTAACATTTCACCTCCCGGCTGAAATGTTGTGGACACAGTCCAGAAAGCTTTCAGCAATCACCCAGGACTTCTTGCTGGACTGTCTGTAGACAGGCAGCAGGTTCTTGTTCTTGCCTTTGAGGGCCCAGTGGTTTTTGAACCTGTACAGCATGCCTGGCTTGATCAGGTGCCCAACCGCATTGCCACAGAGCAGCACAGTCACCTGATCCTTCGCAACTTTAAATCCAGGGGCTGCCTTCTCTGCTTTCGCAGTGTAAGGGCACTCAGTCATCTTCTTCCAGAACAGGCCCATTCTGTCTGCGCTGAAGACCCACTCTGGAAAATAGCCCTCTTGCAGCAGCCTCTTCAGCTCACGGGGGTCTGCTTCCGCAGCCTCTGTGTCTGCAGGTGCAGCTTTCCTAGTGATGTGGAGCTTCTTTAGGTTGAAGCAATCATTGAAGCAGTTCATTGAACCAACCAACCAACCAGAGCTGGCTTAGAACTCCTTCATGGCCCACTCCCCCTCTTCAGTAGCAGACTTGAAGTGCACATACAGATGGAGAACCTTCTTGCGCAAGGTGTTGCCATCAGTGGGGACATGCTGGCAGTTCATGTCTTCTAGCTACAGGGTCAGCACCTTCTCTGTCTTCACCAGAACTTTGTTCCACACGTAGCTGGTGACCTTGGCAGTTGTAGGTGCACTCGCTACCACTGCTGCCTGGATTTATTTCTCGGGTATCTTGATGGCATGGTTGCTGGACTCATTCCTGCCATACTTGCATGCCACAGAACACATGATCACGCCTTCTTGTAAACAATCCAGCACTTCCAGTTTCTCCTCCTGTGTGGGCACCACTCATTGCTTCTTGGGTTTGTCAGTACCTGAGGAAGGTGACGATGCCTTGCATTTAGGTGGCATCTCAAAAAAGGCTAAAAAAATTATCCAATAAACTGAAAAGAGTTTTGCAAAGAGACAAAGGGAAATTGCGCCTGTTGGTCTCCACTCTGACCTCCACAGTTTGATTGTACACAGGGGTCTGCATAGCTCTCTGGATATATAAGCTGTATTTTGCATAAATGGAGAATACAAATTTCACATGTTGAGGTATAGACACATATTTAATTATTTTGGCCTAATAAACCATGGTTTGAAGCTGATGTAAGATGCTGGTTTGTTCTGAACCCGCTATCCATTGTTTACTGGTTCACATGTGATGGGAAACAACGGTTAATTATGCAGGAAGTGCCTTACAGCATGCTGAGAAGAGAGGAAGTATGGGGCAATGCAAAGATCATACATACCATGGCTTAATAAACTAAGAAAAATATGTCTAAACCAGGCCAGTCCCTGCAGGTCATAAATAGTTGTGATCTATAGCACTGCTTTTTGTGGCTGAAAAAATCCAACAAAAAGAGATACTAGACTTCTTGACAACAAGAAAAGAATTTATTTGTAAAAGACTTTGGGTGCTGTTCAATGTCAGTCATACTCCGAGTAGATAATTTGATATCAATGGCCTGAAGTAACTTAAAACCATTTATTTAAATTGGCCTACTCTATGGATATAGTCCTAACTCCACTTACTGAGGAGTAAGCCCCATTGAGTTCAAGTAGGACTTCTGAGAATATATTGTTAGGATTGCCTTGTTAATTGGGTCCTCTGAGTCCTAGACTGTGGTACAGCAACGATGGAATTTGTATCACATTTATTACTTACATTAACAAACCTGTATTATCATTTGCAAGTACTTCTTTTTACCAACTGCTCTCCGATACTGTTCTATATCCACATTTTGGGAGAGTTAGTTATAATTTGATGCTCAAGTTTCCCTCAGCATTTTCCTTCCCATGCTTGAGCTTATGTTTATCTCATGTTTTGAAAGAGATTCAGCTTCATCTGTTTTATACTCTAACATCGTCATCCTTCCTAAACAGCTTCATTTGAGCAGAATCCTATTATGCAGATACCGGTGCACACATGTCTATATAGGAATCATTGAATAAGAGTGTGATCACACTGTAAATACTTTATTTTCTGACACTCGTTTTCTTTCCTGTGGTGGTGACTTTAAATTGATGTGAGGCTGTCAACATCCCTTCGTGGCTCAGGGGTGGGGGTGGAGAGAAGTGATCTGTTTAAGTGAGATTTAGAATTCACTGTCCATCACTGTCCATATTACAACTCCAACATGCTCTGGACATGCACTTGGTTCTATTAATCCTTCCAGAACAATATTCCCCTGACACTAAGGTTTTGAGGCAATAAAATAGAAATAAAAATCCTTCGATTCCTTTTCACAGCAACATCCATTCCTTTTCATTTATATATTTCTACAGAGCATAACACTCTAGTCTAGAGAAGAATATTCTGTGAAACTCGGAGAGTTTGATAGGCTCACAAATGAATAGCAATCATGTTTGAATGGAAGCATTCAAATTAATTCAGCATTTTGAGAGAGCTAAATAGTTATTTCTTCAACCAGGCTGGGTCTTGACCTTTGTTAATTTACCCTCCACTCACAGTAAACACATTTTAACAATCTTTGTCCTTCAACAGAAATGAACCACAAACGTATTCTCAGTCCTGCTTTTCATAAAAATTACAGCGTTTGGAACTTAGATGAATAGTGACTTTGACGGCTATAGTGTGACCTTTCCCCCCAAGCTTCATTCTTCTATGAGCCAGGCAAATATTTACCCATATATAAAACCACATGGTCATCATATATTCATGTACACAACGTGTATTCATTGTTTGTAGACCAGTGGTCCCGTTTATGGAAAAATGATATTGAAGTATGTACATGAGTGTGCACACCTCATCCTCAGATCTTTCATGCACCTGGTGACCACATGAAAGCAGTTTGGTATAAATTGGAACTCCACATGACCATTATACATTCAAGTACGTTCTATTTCTGCAACTACAACCTGTGATGAATCCCTAAATTCTGATCAGAACAACAGTGTCGGCTAGAACATCTAGACCCTCACTGAGAACCCTGGTGTGACAGCAATAATCCTCTTACCCAGTTTAACCCATTTTTTATGGTAGCCCAATGTTCTGAACTGAGTTGCTATTTTGTAATGGAAGTTCAAATCCATTGGAAAGGTGGGACCATCCTGCAAGTAAATTTCTGATTGACTGCCTGGACCATTTTCACCGGATATTGAGTATTTTCACCATTGGTTTAGTCCACTATCTACAAAAGGAGGCAGGTTTTTCCTTTGGTATGTGAGGCCCCATCTCACTCCCTTTGTCTTCTTTGGACCTATGTGAATCAAATGGCCAGAGATGCTCTACAATGGACTTCATGGACAATCTTTTCTATAAGGAACTTTGACCACAAATTGAAACCTAAGACTACTCAAAACAGATAAAAGGAGTTAATTAGGGCGTATGGGATGCTAGGGGAGGGGTAATACTTGTGGTGGGGGACACATTGTACTCTTTCTGGGGTAGTTTGTCCACCTTTGGTCCCATCCCTGCACTCAGCTCTCCCCTGTGACTCCTAGAAGCTGTCAGCATGTGACAGAGGCCACACCCTGGGAAACGGTTTCTACTGGGCAGCTAAACCAAGTGAGGGTAGCTGATGGGTCTCAAACCCTCACTGAGTTAGGGACTTACCCTGCTTGCAAAGACAGGCTCCAGTGGATTGAGTGGACAAGACCAATAGTGGGTCCAATGGTCAAGAAGGCAGTTGTAGAGGGAAGTGAGGGGCAGATGGGGCTTGTGAACCTGGGAAGGCAGTCTATCTAGGAACTCTGACCCTGAACCTCTGTTGCCTCATGAGATATCTTCAGGAGAAGAAAAGGCTAAGGAGTAAACCCTACACAAATCCTTGTATGCCTCCCTGTGGAAATTCCTGCAACCAAGCTGGCGCCAAACATATTGCTCTGCTTTCCTTTGGACCTCAATAGGGAGGCTCAGAAGAGGGTCTTCTTGTCTGGGCAGTCTAGGACCTCCATACATATTGCCCAGGCTTGTGCCCCAGGGAGGTAACCAATGTAGCGGTTTGGATTCACCCCACGGAAGTGCACTCCAATGTTTCTTGAGACAGATGGATGCTATCAAGAGCTAGATTTACATTTGGATTTGATATGGAAGTTTCCGTGAGTAATTTGTTGCCTTCTCCTTTCTCCTTATAATCTTCTTTATATACATTGACAACTAGCTTTGTTAATTTAAAAATGATTCCTCTATAATTTCTCAGTAAAATCATAAAAAGCTAAAGGACCCCTGGATGGTTAAA